CCTTATAAGGTTCTGGTGCATCCGGCATACTGACATTGTCGTCGTCAGGTTTGTTGGCTGCCTGGGATGTGTTGAGGTTTGTCGTAGCAGTTCCTCCTGAGGTCCCTGAAAGCAATGTTTCGTTTCTGGTCATTTTCTTGGATGCGGCGGCACTAGGTATCTACTGCTTCTTGCTGAGTCTTTGTTTTACACGTTACTGAATAACGATCAAACAATGTCGGGAACAGGGCAAGCATCTTGAGTTCTTCGTGGCTGTCAAGACTCTCTCTTTCGTCCTCAGGATAACGTTTCTCAATAGCGTCGACTCCCTTGCAGATCAAGTCCATGACTTCACGCACGGCTGGTGCATCATTCTAGCCCTCCATTAGCAGCATCGATCAAGGAGGTGCGCTGGGCCATGTACTACATACCTCGTCCGTCCCAACTGTGACCTGAACTGCGAACTCATACTCCTTCAGCTTCTTTATGTCCACCTGGAGCTGGGATCGCATTGCCGGATCCTCTACCAGCTTGACCCCCCGCGTACAATCTAGCTTGAAACTCAGATTCTGCACGGTAACAGTTATAGCCTTTACAGTTGCCATTGTAACATTTATACCAGGCGTGTGAAGGTCGACAAGGATATCAACATTGTCGTCGAGTTGGACACGCCGAAGCATCGTGGGACTGGTAGCCAGAGATGTAGCAATATTCTCGCGATGAACGACCAGCCAGTACTCGCGTCCTAGGGCATATTTGGAATGGACGGCTTCAAAATACATCGTAGGAGAGGGGTTTGGAGGAGCCGAAACTGTATTTGCGGTGGTGTTAGCATTTGTCTATCAAGGGAGATGAGGTTGACGCTTCTGACTTGACGGAATATCTTGATTGCGGTTGTACAGGCTGACCACGAAGGTAGTCGAGCGTTTGGTATAGGAAAGCGATTCGATGCAGGCAAATCATTGAATGCGCAAACCTTTGAAGGGCTGTGAGAAGACACCGAAGTACGCAGGAGGGGAGAGGGCGAGGGGAAAGGTAATATGTTGAGGGTGGGAATATACCGTGGTAAGTTGTGGAAGTTAGAAGTCAGAAGTCTGTCTTGACTTTAATCGCTTTCCACAAACGGCAGGCACGTTAATTTAGCGCGCTATCACATGACATCGCACTTTCTTGTGTCAAGGGTCCTGCATATCAATAATCACGTGAAGTCACCCCAAGATTAAGTCCAGACAGCATTCTGACGGGATAGGCACATCCAGAGAGTTATAACAAACAAGAATCCTTGGAGTAACTAAGCGATCGACGGATTGACTTCATTTGTGAGCACGTGATATATGGCGACAGAGCGACGTATGGAGGAGCAGAGGCTAGACAAATCGAGATTGAAGGATTCAGAGCAGGAGGATATCTTCCTCAACTTCAAAGTCTGGGATAGGAGTATTTGGAAGGATCGATTACCGCTCGAGTTGAGGGGCGATGAGAATTGAACGATTATGTCAAGGCTCAACAACATCAGAAGGCCACTAACTGAGAACATCATCATCACATCACGACTCGGTCAATCTAGTTATCTGTTTCCGTCATACCACAGTCTTCTCTCTATCCCGAACCGTGTACCTGTAGCCGGCATTTCCCCTCGATTCAGAACTAGGGTACTCCATCGCTTCATTGCTACCTCGCGAGACTCGGTGCACACGTAAGCAATGGCGTTGTGATTTATTGTTTCGCGAATGCCGCTGTAATAAGACAGTGTTGTTCACCTTCCTGCCTCCATTCCTCCTGCTGTTCCCTTGGGAGCTTGTTAATTCAAATTATCCGATGTTTTGTCTAGTCAATATTGTGTTCTATGATGATCTTTCAAACCTTCGTGTACTTCCAACGTCAATTTCTTGCCCAGTTGTGTGTAATAGTGGTAGTGTAAGATCATTACAACTACTCCCAAAATTAAAACAATCAAATAAGCATCAGCTAGATACAGCGTTGCTAGATTAGGCTTGGAGTCGAAGGAAAAACCCAAAAGTTTAATTCTGAAATAAGTATGAGCAGCGTCGCTAGATTGGGCTTGGACTCGAATCAAAACCTAAAAGTTTAATTCTTAAATAAGCATGGGCTGCATACAGCGTCGCTAGATTAGGTTTAGACCGAATTAGAAGCCGAAAAGTGTAACGCTTAAATAAGTATGAGCTCGACACAGCATTTCTTGATTAAGCTTA